GTAAAAGATAAGGGCACCAGCAGTGCTTTTTTCTATAAAAATAGGTGCCGCTACTCCAAATGAAGCAATGACAAACCTAGACAGCATCTTGAAAACCATAGACATCACCTTGCCAACAAAGGCCCATATAGTTAAAGCCATGGTTTTCCCAGTAGTGATGTATGGAAGTGAGAGCTGGACCATAAAGAAGGCTGATCACCGAAGAATTATGGTGCTGGAGGAGACTCTTGAGAGTCCCATGGACTGCAAGAAGATCAAACCTATCCATTCTTAAGGAAATCAGCCCTGAGTGCTCACTGGAAGGACAGATCCTGAAGCTGAGGCTCCAATACTTTGGCCACCTCATGAGAAGACTCCCTGGAAAAGACCCTGATGACAAGATGGTTAGACAGTGTTCTCGAAGCTACGAACATGAGTTTGACCAAACTGCGGGAGGCAGTGGAAGACAGGAGTGCCTGGCGTGCTCTGGTCCATGGGGTCACAAAGAGTCGGACACGACTAAACGACTAAACAACAACAACAACTCCCAATGAATTTGTTACAGTAAGTGCCAAACTTTTTAACAACAACAAGAGAGAGGTGCCGATACTGTGTACCCTTGAGTACTCCCTGAAAAAAAGGACTGGGCACCAGACATAATACACAGCCATAGAAATCATAGAATCATAGAATTGGACAGGACCCTGAAGATCACCTAGCCCTGTGGTTCCCACAGCAATCTGATTTTTATGGGGGGCAATTCGAGAATGAGTTATTAACAGGGAATGGCCTTCCAGACAACAATTAATGTTGCCATATTAATATACAAAGCACTAAATTACTTGCCCCTTTGCACCTGTGGAGTTCTTGCTTATGTTTAATTGCCGTCTTTATAAAGCAACAGAATGCAATGAAGCATCCCGATCCCTATACAAAATTCTCAAGCAAAAAATAAAAATAAAAATTTCAGAGATTCATTTTCAGAATCGTGTAGCTACGTGTAGCTACGCTCCAAAGAATTAGAGCGCTGGAGCTCTTCTTGGAAGCAGCAGAGCACACCGTCTCCACCAAGGAGGAGACAGGGGACTCCCCTGAGAAGGACGCTAGTTCACCAACACAGGAGCCAGATATATGGAGAAATGTGACTCAAAGAAGTAGGAGGCCCAGGGTTCGCTCTGATTGTTTAGAAATACACAATCGCTTTGAGGTCCTCTCCCCTAGCATGGAAGACGAAGAGCAGACTCCATTTGAGGATCTCTCCCTCATTACAGTTGATCAGGTATATGAAGACGAGCAGCAAAGTCAGTCCTCAGGGAATGTGCAGGCGACCTTGGAGCAGACAGCTCACGGAAGAACCCCGACCAAACCTAAGAGGAGGCGTGTAGTGGTGATAGGGGATTCCCTACTGAGGGGAACAGAAGCAGTGATCTGTGGGCCTGACAAGATGTCTCGGGAAGTGTGCTGTCTCCCGGGGCTAAGATCCAAGATGTAACTGAACGACTGCAAGGAATCATAAAACCCACTGACAAATACCCCTTCCTCTTGGTTCATGTGGGAACCAATGACACTGCAAGCAATAGCCTCCAGAAGATCAAAAGAGACTACGAGGCTCTGGGCAGGAAATTGAAGCAATTAAATGCACAAATTGTCATCTCATCTGTCCTCCCAGTTGAACGACGTGGCCCAGGGAGAGAGGGAAAATAGTGGAAGTGAACAGCTGGCTTCGCAAATGGTGTAAACAGGAACGGTTTGGATTCTTAGATCACGGACTGCAGTTTCTTGAAGATGGACTTCTGGCAAGCGATGGGCTGCACCTTACAACGGTTGGGAGAAATGTTTTTGCCAAAAATCTCAGAAACCTCATCAGGAGGGCTTTAAACTGACTAATGTGGGGGAGGGAGGCAGTGCTCCTGAAGGTAGGAGTCTATCAATTGATGAAGATGATCATCCAAATGTCATAGACCAAATGGAGCAAACAGCACACAGACCTAGTGGTGGGAGGAAAAAATCCTTAAATAAGAGTCACGGGGAATGATTAATGGACTTCAATGTCTGTACACTAATGCGCAAAGCATGGGAAATAAACAAGATGAGCTTGAGCTCTTGGTACAGCAAACTAAATATGACATAATAGGCATCACTGAAACCTGGTGGGATAAGTCCCACGATTGGAATGTAATAATTGTGGGATACAATCTATTTCAGAGAAACAGACCAGACAAGAAAGGAGGAGGAGTGGCGTTATATGTCAGGGATGTGTATACCTGTGAAGAGATCCAAGATTTAGAACCTCAAAGCCAAAGTGAGAGCATTTGGGTCAAAATTAAGGGAGAGAAGAATAACAGTGACCTCATTGTAGGAGTTTACTATAGATCCCCAAGCCAAACGGAGGACATAGATGATGCCTTCCTGGAACAGATGGCCAAGCATGCAAAAGGAAGGGAGATAGTAGTAATGGGGGACTTCAATTACCCGGATATTTGTTGGATGTCAAACTCAGCCAAGAGCATAAGGTCAAACAGATTCCTCACTGGCCTTGCAGACAACTTCATTGTCCAGAAAGTGGGAGAAGCAACAAGAGGAACAGCCATTTTAGATCTGGTCCTAACCAATGTTGATGACCTGGTTAGTGGGGTAGAAGTGGAAGGATCATTAGGCGCGAGTGATCATGCTCTTCTGAAGTTTACTATACAGCGGAAAGGAGCAGCCAAGCATACTAGGACTCAATTTCTTGACTTTAAGAAAGCTGACTTCATAAAACTTAGGGAAGTGCTGGGTGAGATCCCATGGACAGTAATACTAAAAGGAAAGGGAGTTCATGATGGCTGGGAGTTTGTTAAGAGGGAGATACTAAAAGCACAACGTCAGGCAATACCAATGAGACAGAAACATGGAAGGTGCCTAAAGAAGCCAGGGTGGCTATCTAAAGAACTTTTAACTGAGTTAAGATTAAAAAAGGATGTGTACAAAAAATGGAAAAGGGGAAACCACCAAAGAGGAATTCAAACAAATAGCCAGCACGTGTAGACACAAAGTCAGAAAAGCTAAAGCACAGAATGAACTCAGGCTTGCTAGAGAGGTTAAAAGCAACAAAAAGGCTTTTATGGGTATGTCCGTAGCAAAAGGAAGAACAAAGAAACAGTGGGGTCACTCAGAGGAGAAGATGGTGAAATGCAAACAGGGGACACAGAAAGAGCTGAACTCCTCAATGCCTTCTTTGCCTCAGTCTTCTCCGATAAAGAAAACAATGCCCGACCTGAAGAATTTGGAGCAAATGATTCAGCAAAGGAAACACAGCCCAGAATAACTAAGGAGATAGTACAAGAATACTTGGCTAGTTTAGATGTATTCAAGTCTCCAGGGCCAGATGAACTGCATCCAAGAGTATTAAAAGAACTGGCAGATGTGATCTCAGAACCACTGGCAGTCATCTTTGAGAATTCCTGGAGAACAGGCGAAGTCCCGGCAGACTGGAGGAGGGCAAATGTTGTCCCTATTTTCAAAAAGGGGAAAAGAGAGGACCCAAATAATTACCGCCCAGTCAGTCTGACATCAATACCAGGGAAGATTCTGGAGCAGATCATTAAGCAAACAGTCTGTGAGCACCTAGAAAGGAATGCTGTGATCACCAATAGTCAGCATGGATTTCTGAAAAATAAGTCATGTCAGACTAACCTGATCTCGTTTTTGACAGAATTACAAGCCTGGTAGATGAAGGGAACGCAGTGGATGTAGCCTACCTTGATTTCAGCAAGGCATTTGACAAGGTGCCTCATGATATTCTTGTAAAGAAGCTGGTAAAATGTGGTCTTGACTATGCTACCACTCAGTGGATTTGTAACTGGCTGACTGACCGAACCCAAAGGGTGCTCATCAATGGTTCCTCTTCATCCTGGAGAAGAGTAACTAGTGGGGTGCCACAGGGTTCTGTCTTGGGCCCGGTCTTATTCAACATCTTTATCAACGACTTGGATGATGGACTCAAGGGCATCCTGATCAAATTTGCAGATGACACCAAATTGGGAGGGGTGGCTAACACCCCAGAGGACAGGATCACACTTCAAAACGACCTTGACAGATTAGAGAACTGGGCCAAAACAAACAAGATGAATTTTAACAGGGAGAAGTGTAAAGTATTGCACTTGGGCAAAAAAATGAGAGGCACAAATACAAGATGGGGACACCTGGCTTGAGAGCAGTACATGTGAAAAGGAGCTAGGAGTCTTGGTTGACCACAAACTTGACATGAGCCAACAGTGTGACGCGGCAGCTAAAAAGCCAATGCAATTCTGGGCTGCATCAATAGGAGTATAGCATCTAGATCAAGGGAAGTAATAGTGCCACTGTATTCTGCTCTGGTCAGACCTCACCTGGAGTACTGTGTCCAGTTCTGGGCACCACAGTTCAAGAAGGACACTGACAAACTGGAACGTGTCCAGAGGAGGGCAACCAAAATGGTCAAAGGCCTGGAAACGATGCCTTATGAGGAACGGCTAAGAGAGCTGGGCATGTTTAGCCTGGAGAAGAGGAGGTTAAGGGGTGATATGATAGCCATGTTCAAATATATAAAAGGATGTCACATAGAGGAGGGAGAAAGGTTGTTTTCTGCTGCTCCAGAGAAGCGGACACGGAGCAATGGATCCAAACTACAAGAAAGAAGATTCCACCTAAACATTAGGAAGAACTTCCTGACAGTAAGAGCTGTTCGACAGTGGAATTTGCTGCCAAGGAGTGTGGTGGAGTCTCCTTCTTTGGAGGTCTTTAAGCAGAGGCTTGACAACCATATGTCAGGAGTGCTCTGATGGTGTTTCCTGCTTGGCAGGGGGTTGGACTCGATGGCCCTTGTGGTCTCTTCCAACTCTATGATTCTATGATTCTATGATTCTATGAATCTACCCTGCAACTGTGGAACTCCTTGCTGTTGGAGATTCATTAACACCCATGTAAGAATCTTCATAGGACCTATTGATGGTTCAGCCTGGTAGCAGGTGGTAATCGTGTGGGTTTTTAAGCCTAGTAATGACATGTGCCACAATGGGTCAGTGCATCTGGTTGTTAACCAGAAGGTTAGTGGTTCAAGTCCACCCAGGGACAGCTGTGGTTGGATTCCTGCAATGCAAGGGGTTGGACTAGATGACTCTCAAGGTCCCTTCCAACTCTACAAATCATGAACACAACACATGAAATGTTTTGTCCCATTGGTTTAGTAGGGCTCTTAGGATGGGCAATTAGGAAATGAAATAAAAAATTCTAGTGCTTAAGAGTTGTAAAAATGACATCTGGTCAGTTTACTGCAGAGGTTACCAATAAGGCTAGAGCTTTCTGCTTTTCATTCAGGAATTCTTCTTCTTCACAACCATGCAACCACTGCTTTTATAAAATCAAAGTACATTACTCTATTGACTTCAGCAGGACTTGGTATGGACAACTTTTTCTCAATGAGATTATTGTGTTGAAGACCATGTTTAATTTCCCCCATGTTGAATGACTTTAAGGCAGTTCTACCAAACACTGAGCGTATCTGTACCTCATCCATCATCACCTCTCTTATAATTATCCAGGTGATTAAGACAAAACAGAAGTATCAAGAGAGCATCCCAGTTTTAATTCAGTAATTTCTTTTTTCCAGAACCATGGGACTGGTAAGGAAACATTGCAGCTTTGTCACCTTTGCCGGAACGGGAGTAATTCATTATCTTTTTTTATTTATTTGCTGTATATGATGCATGATAGAAATAATGCATGGAACAGGTCCCCAAGGCATATACCACAAGGCATATGAACTGGATGGCCTGCCAGGCCCCTTGGGACTGCCCTCAAGGTCTGTCAAGTAAAGAAAGGTGCGAGCTATTTCATGCTCCCTCCTGAACAGAGATGTCATGGGTGAATGCACACATGCTGCAAAGCCTAGTACCAATTATCAGCTACAAATGATCCTCCAGGCTTCGTCTCTTTTATAAATTGCACACAAGAAGAAGCCTGGGCAGAAAAACCAACTAATTCTCCTGAAAAAATGCAGACCTTTTAGAAATCACCTGCTGCCAGTTTGAGGTTCCTCTTACAACACACATCAGAAGTCAATTGTGTGATAAGCTCGATGTAGAGACTGAAGTAAGCTACTTAAGACCTTTTCTTTCCTTGTCTTTTCAGGGATTCCTGCTGATTATGTGCATATGCGTGTCTAAAAGACTTTAATCGGGGCTTCAAAAGAGGGACTGAGAAAAGCCAGCTGCTGATTCTGCCATTCTCCTCCCAGGAGCTGGATAGCTGAGACAAGAGAGCACATTTAAAGACACCAGAATTGCCTTGTTAGATCAGACTCAAGGCCTATTTAGTCCAGCGCTCTGTTTTCAGCAGTAGCCACAGTTAAAAACACAACAAAGGGAGAAAGCAAACCCTTAGTGGACACCCTCTCATGTCCTGGAAACAGAAATAACTGCTCCTGCTTATCCTGGCTTATGCTGAAAGATATGACTTCTGAATACAGAGGTCCCACTTTTACCAGCCATGGTTAATAGTTAATAGCTATTTGTGGGCCTATCCTCCATAAATTTGAGTCTAATTTCCTGCCTATCACATACCCCCCAACATGGTGAAGTGAAAAACTGGGGTGAGCATCTTCCGGGGCCATGCTCTTATGTGAGTTATGTGATGTGTGTGAGATCACGGCCCTGAAATAATCACTTTCGGGGGGCCATGCTCTTGCAGCACCCAAAACATGTGTTTTGGGGTGCCACACAAGATTGCGTGCCCCCAAAAGTGCTTTTTTAGGGGGGCAAGATGGCAGTGCGAGATTGCAGTGCCCCAAAACACGTTTTCTAATTGCATACACCTAGATCATGTTCTCTCCTAAGTTCAAGGTTTCCCCTACTCCTTAATCAAAAAAGCTAGAATCTCTTAGATATTTCATAGGAACATAAGAAAAGCTTTGATGGATCAGGACAAAGACCCATCTAATCCAGTGTCCCTTTCTTACAGTGACCAGCAAGATGCCTATGAAAATCCTGCAAGCAGGATCCCAGTGCAACTGAACTCTTCCCAGTTATGATTCCCCGCAATTGGTATTCATCCTGCATAGGATTATATTGTTAATGCCATTAAATGTGGCTGGGAAATAGTCTAAGCGTGGGCATACCATAGATTTATTAAATGTTTTGATATTTGCTGTACTTACATTCCCAACAAGATGGACTTTTTCATTGCTAAAGAACTCTGTTCTGACATTTTCAGAGCTTTCTGTTATGATCCCAACATTTCTTTCCTGGGTGATTACAGCTTATCTTGATCCTTTTGTCAGTGTGCATGTGAAGTTGGAATTTATTGCCCCAACGTACATAATTTTTCACTTATTTATGTTTTCCCTCTGCAGGAACAGGCAGTCTCTTCAGAAGAACAGCATCATCCATTACAGGCAGCTGTTCCAGACACAACAACGATCATTCATGAATCTGCTGATAAAAAAGTACATCCAACATACTGGATGTTCAAATGTCATATTAAAGACACTTTAATACACAGGGGTTAGGCAGCTCAGAGGGTGTCATGGAAGCCTTAGAGGGAACATCAGTCATAAACCTAGATGAGAACTTTATTGTCTATCAAACAAGATAGACTAGCAACAGGCAATGCTTACATTTGCTCAGGTACAACCACATCCAGTACCACCTAGAGACTAAACTATGGAATGACATTATCCACCCACATAGAAAGGAATAGGAGAGACTGAATGAGGACGAAATGTGTGCTAGGAAGAACAGAATGCTCTTACTGCAACAAAGACCATGGCCTTGAACCACAATGGATTGGTGAGAGAGAAAGGTCTGCTTCTTTTCCATTTCTTTCCTGTTTCTGGTATATATGGGGATCTCAGTTTCATAAATTGTAGCTCATATGGCTGCACTATCACATTTGGTCCAAGGAGGATCAGCAGTTCCAGATGATATATTTGAGTCTGTAATTTTGTTTGTATGTGTTAAATTTATATCCCACCTTTCCACAGGAATGAGCCAAAAGCAACTAACAAGGATACAATAAATGGAAAGGGTTGTATCTGGTGAAGTCCCGTTAGCACAATAAGTTCAGCTTCTGCAGCAGAACTTGCCTTCTCGCTCCTCTCCCTGCAAACACACCCCAGATCTGCCCCAGAGTGTTGGGGGAAATCCCAGAACTGTTGGGGGTGAATAGGGAGAGGAGAAGGAAGGGAAGCACCGTTGCACAAGTGGAAGTCTTTGGGATAACAGGACAGCTTCACTGGATACAACCCAAAGGGACAACAATATGAAATACATCACTATATATAACCAGAGATTTAAAAACGTCAGTAAAACCAACATAAGACAAAATAGCACACAACAAAAATAAGACACCCATAATAAGAAAGCTCATTACTTTCTCAGTGGAACGTCAATGAAGGGGCTACCTGGGCCTCCCAGGAAGGAAGCCCCTGAACATAAGGGCAGCCACAGAAATGGTCTTTTAAAGCAGAGGTTGGCTGACTATCCCTCATGGAAGCTTTAGCTGAGATTCCTGCATTGCAGGAGGTTGGATTAGATGCCCCTAGGGATTCCTTCCAAATTCCAACTCGATAGTTCTATGATTCCATGAGTCATTGCCAAAAAAGATGCCTTATATTGGCAAGAGGAGAGAATTTTCTTCTAGTGAGTTCACAAAAATTTCCTGCAAGGTCAGAACAGCAGAAAAACATACTGAAATTTAATAGCCATAAATCAAAAGCTTAGTTATTCACAGACTCTTTTCCTACAAAGGCTCCTAGTTGCTTTTGAAGAGATAACAAAAGGCCAGCGTTCAGCAGTGAAGTTTCCCCAGCCTATCACTGCATCCCTGGGCTAAGAAACACTGCACTTAAGGTACCTGTCAAAGGCGCAGAGCTTCTGTCGAGCACAAAAGGGGGGATATATATATATATAGCAACCCTGGTATTTACGGTCCATCTGCCCATCTGCGGCAAATCACACTATAATTCGGTGGGGAAACGCATGTCATCTCCTCCTCCACAGGAAATAGGACAAAAGAGAGGCCATGATCTTGCCCTCCTCAAGTGACTCAGGGCAACTTCACACTTCCACAGTGATAACTTCAGTCGTAACATGATGACTCACTGTAGATCCTTGTCTTGAGGAACCTAGTTAGGATGAAGCAGTAGCAGACCACTTAATAAACCTGAGACCATTGTCAAGGAGCAGCAGCCTCTCCTTTACAAGTAGGCAACAGCAGAGCCAGCTGAAGAAAGCGCTACTCCCCATTTCCCACAATTCCTCTCTGATGGCATTATTTGTGCCTTCTTTTTTCCTTCTGATCTGATTCGCCCTTTTAACACTTTATCTAGAATCACCAGACGAGATGTGAAATCTGTTTCAACAGAGTTTGCAGGGAAGGAAAAGAGGACACTACCTGAAACATGAAATAGCTATTAACCTTAGAAGCTGGAACTCTCACTCCTAAAGCATAATTTATGCTTTTTTTAGATGTATCGGTTGCACCCGCCTGGTTATTTACAAGTGTTACATCTGGTCACCTGTAGCACGTATTGCCTCCATGTGATCCAGGTATGTGCATAAGAAATGATAAACTAGCACAGAATATATATACCGAGATTTTCAGCCTTTCTAATTTACTCATACCACCCTACCACCCCTAAAAGCAAGTCTGCAGTCATCTTGGGGCATTTGTTTTAATTCTGCTTTCTGCCTTTCTACCCGAACCAAAATGTGGCCAGTTTTCCAACAGAGGAAGAAGAAGAAGAAGAAGCTTGATAGCTTGACACTCCTGAGAAGAAGAAAAATGCATACTGTTCTGCTACTATCATTTCATGGCTCTGTTCCTGTTGCCCACAGCTTCTCCCATCTATGCCCTTGCCATAAATAGTAAATGGTGTAAAAACACTGGACACAATCCAGATAAAGCAAAGCAACTTGATGGGAGAATTATATAAATGCTGAACATTATCTGAACAAAATTGATTCAACTTAACAGTGATTCCCTTTGGCTGGAAGGAACTCCTGGTTTTCCAACTGAAGAAAACAAATACATTTAAATGGATGAACATCGCTCATAATCTTTGAAATGCAGAATAA